ATGTGGGGGCAAAATGCCAAGTTGCATCAAATGATTCTTTGGTTTTGAACCCTTTAAACACATGTTTTAAGCCTATTTTATCCATTTCTTTCATGACCCCTCACCGTGGCCTACATTACAACCTTTAAAAGTCCATTTGGACCAAGTGTGAGTGCTCAAATTGAATGATCATATGTTGAACTGAGGCATGCTTATGATGGGGCAATTGAATTACTTTGTGTGTTAGAGATTGATGTGAAAAAGATATCAATAATGGATGGAAAAAAGAAGAAGAAAAATTCAAAAAAAGGAATGAAAAATTCAAAAAAATGAATGAAAAATTAAAAAAAATGAAAATTGAATAAAATGAAAAAATAAAAAATTGAAAAGGAGAGAAAAGGAAGACTCAAATTGAAAATCTAAAAAGGTAATTTGGGTAGAAAAAATATCTGAGCTAAAAGTTTGATGAGCTTAAAATGATTTCGATAGTCAATGAAATGGGTTTTTGAAAAGAATCCTAAATTAATGTTCAGAATTATTCAGATATTCATTGTTTGGATATACTATTCATCCAATTTGTTTATTTCCCTATTTGTTTTACACCAAACTTGTCCTTCATTAAGTACCTTTCTCTAAAATTACCTCGTGTTCCCTTATTATTGTATCCCCAGAATAAATCAAAGAAATGTATGAGAGCATTATATTTGTCGTGATTTGAAATGATGATGAATGAATGATAATGTGCATAAAAGAGTCTTGCATTTCTTTGAAGAGAAATCCAAGATGATAAGAGAAAAAAAAAGAATAGATGGTAGAAACCTAAAAAGGGATGATTTGAGAAGGCATATGGTCTGACCAAATGATGAATATGGGATGAATTGGTCAACATAGCTTGTCAATAGTGATCAAGTAATAAAATAATGAGGATCAGTGGATGAAATTCATTATTGAATGGCTAGTGCTGAGAAGCCTATAAATGAGTGATGAACACAATATGGATCAATTGACAGAATTATTAGTGCTAAGAAGCCTATGGATGGTGATCAAATAATGGAAGCAATGATGATCGGTTGATGAAACTTGTTCCAAAGTGTTGAGAAGCTAAGCAAAGAGAAAACATGAGATGGTAGACTCTTGAGAGCCATATTACCATAATTATTTAGGATTTCATGATATTATTGACATCTGCATTCTATGCATCACGTAAGCATTGTTGTTTGAATAACACATGCACATAATTCAATTGTTGTATTTGTATCATCAAGAAGGCATTTGTATATTTGATCATGACATTCATTCATGCAAAATTTTGGGTCACCTAAAAAGAAATTGTGAACCTTTTAATGAAAATCTCTGAATTTCAATTGAGAATCTTTGAGTTTCAAAGAAAAATCTTAGAGTTTTAAGTTTCAAATGAGAATCTTTGAGATATGAAACTTTGAGATTTATTGAATAAGAACTTTTGAGCCTGAATGAGAAGCTTTGAATTTTGGGATGTAAATCACCAAAATTCAAATAAGAATATTTAAAATGTGGATGTGAGTCTTATAATTTACAAATGCAAATCTTAAGATCTTGCAAATTTGAATTCTTGTGAAGCTAAAATTTTGAGAATCAAATTTCAATGAATTTTTACGAAGTTGAAAGGTTCTTACGAATCTGAACCTTTGATTTTCAAACTCAAATTGTGAATCTTTGAGTTCCCATTATAAATTTTATCAGATTGAGCTACAACTCCGTTAGACATGATTGTCAAAGAGTCCTTTATTTTTTAAAGTTCGTTGCCTCTATTTAAATGAGCCATTTATTTTTTAGAAGTTCGATGCCTCTATTCAGATGAGCCATTTATTTTCTAAAAGTTTGTTGCCTCTATTCAGATGGGCCATTTATTTTCTCAAAAGTTTGTTGCCTTTATTCATAGAAACCATTTATTTTCTAGAAGTTCATTGCCTCTATTCAGAGGAGCCATTTATTTTCTCAAAGTTCGTTGTCTCTATTCAAAGGAGCCAATTATTTTCTTAAAGTTCGTTGCCTCTATTCAGAGGAGCCATTTATTTTCTAAAAGTTCGTTTCTTCTATTTAGAGGAGCCATAGAGGAGCCATTTATTTTTTTAGAAGTTCGTTGCCTCTATTTAGAAGAGTCTATTTAGAAGAGCCATTTATTTTCTAGAAGTTCATTGTCTTTATTTAGATGAGCCATTTATTTTTTAAAAGTTTGTTGCCTCTATTCAGAGGAGCCAATTATTTTCTCAAAGTTCGTTGCCTCTATTCAGATAAGCTATTTATTTTCTCAAAAGTTTGTTGCCTTTATTCAAAGGAGCCGTTTATTTTCAAAGTTCGTTGCCTCTATTCAGAGAAGCCATTTATTTCTCAAAGTTTATTGCCTCTGTTTAAAGGAGCTTTGCTTACTTTTTTTTTTTTTAAAAAGAGAAAAACACAGAAAAAAGAAAAGATGTTGAGTTGAGTCTTGAATGGGTGTCTACGTCTTTGCACAATTCTTGTTTCATAAAAAATGTGCAAAGAGGGGCAAGGGTCTACTTGTGATTTTTTACGAATAAAAAATAATGAAAAAAAATAAAAAATTGAAAAAATAGATGATTGAGTTTGTGTGAAATTGTTGGAACTGGGTTGTAAAGTTAGAATTAGGTTTAAGTTTAGAATTCAAAAGAAATTAGAATTCTTTTTTGGATTGAAGTTCTCATATTCAAAACCCTATAAATACATGCCTACACATATCACACAAACACACAAAAAATAAATTTTAGGGAGAGAAATAAAAATTGATGGTAGGCGCAGGAACGTGAGGCTGCTGGCACAAAAAAAAAAGATTTAAGGGAGAGATATAGAGAAAAACATACGGCAATGCTAAGAGATAGAGGGAAAAAAAGGCGCTGAAAATAATAAAAAAGAGGGTTTTTGCTTGAATTGGTTTGAAGACTTTCAAAGGGGACCCGCGTGCTTGTCTTCATTTTAGTCCATCTTTGACCAAATTAGCCAGTTAGTTTTTCTGTAAAATGGGGTGATTTTCGGATTGGAAGAAAGAGGTATTGAAGAGAAGACCGCAAATAGCTAATGACGACAAAATAATGATGGCTTGCATCCAACAACATGGTCATGGTAGCTGGCGTGCCTTGCCTGAGAAAGCTGGACTTTAACGATGTAGTGGTCAATAATGGCAGCTCACTTGCCAAAGAGAACAGACAATGAGATCAAGAATCATTGGAACACACATCTCAAGAAAAAAGTTAATCAAAATGGGTATTGATCCTATGACTCACAAGAGTCAGACAGATGCTTCAAGATTCTCATCTGGTCTAGGCAAGAATGCTTTAAATTTAAGCCACATGGCTCAATGGGAGAGTGCTCGAATTGAGGCTGAAGTCAGGTTGGTCTGCGAGTCAAAACAGGTTGTGCCAAATCCAAATGCTATCAGACCTAAAAACCAGATTACCTCTACTTCAAGTCAGCAGATTAGAAGAGGGTGCCTTGATGTACTCAAAGCATGGCAAGGTGTAGCTGCTGGCATGTTTACCTTCACCAGCTAGGTCCCTAACCTCAATTCTTAGTTTTTCGGACGGAACTGTTCAAGCCCTTGCCATTCGACTTACTGGAAATACCTATAAAGATGGTTCAGCAGGAGGGGGAGAAATAGCTGCAGAATTAAATAGCCAACCCCTGAGCTATCTTTTTCATGGAGCTAAGTCTTTCATTTTTTGTTATTTTTTATTTTTTACTTTTAGGGGTATTTTTTGCATGATTAAATTTAGAAAAATATAAAAATAAAAATTTTTGGGTTTAAATATTATGTATCCAATGATGGAATTTATAAAAATTTTAAATAATAATTTTTTTTTAAAATTTTTAGCTAAGAAATTTGGTCTAAATTTAGCTCAAATGGTGGAATAATCTAGACAAAGTTTCAATAACAATAATTAAGACTTATTTTCAATCCAAAAATTAAAAAATATATAAAATATAATAAAAATATAAAATTTTGGAATTAAATATAAATTATTCAAAGATGAGATTTTTAGAAATTTTAAATGGTAAATTTTTTAAGAATTCTCTAGGTAAGAAATTTTCTCTAAATTTAACCCAAATGATAGAATAATTTAGATGAAATTTCAATATAAATAATTGTATTCTTTTCCAAATAAAATTTTGATTGGAAATATGTGATAATTATCTAAGGATGAGATTCTTAGAAATTTCAAATGGTAAATTTCTAAAAAATTTTTAGGTGAGAAATTTTCTCTAAATCTGACCAAAATGGTGGAATAATTTAGATGAAAAATTTTCATAAAAGTAATTGTCATAGTATTTTCTTTTCAAAGAAAAATAAAAAAAAATTTTAAATAGACCCAAATGGTGGAATAATTAGATATATTTTTTGACAAAAAATAAATAATAATTAAACATTTTTTTCGATGACGGAGCCTCTTCAAGAAATTAAATTGGATCTTTAAATACTCTTGAGGTGAGAAAATATTTTTTAAGAATTCTACTAGATTGATGGAAGAATCTTATAAATTATTTGTAATATTTCAACTTAAAATTTGAAACCATTAGACTCAATACTTTAGGATAAATTCGAAATAATATAGTACCATCTTTCGGATGGGCATGTGAGGGTGTTATAACATTTCCCATATGTAACCAATTCTCGAACCATATTCTGGTTAGTAGACCCAAAACCTATTCTTTTAGAGACCCTTAATCAAGCTTAAGAGTTCCTTAAAATGATAGATTTCTTAAGTGACCTATCACACCTAATTAAAAAAGATTGATAGTGACTCCATTCATTTGATAAATCTAACTATAAATTTATGGATCTATATGTTATGACGCTCTCATATTTTAAGAAGTGATCTCCAAAATTAATGCAAGAATTAAGGCTGCCTGGAGAAATGCCGATGGCAGGATGCATTAGGTCTACTCTCCTTCTGTTGAATTGGCTTTTGAAGAGTCATTTTCAATGTATTCATGCTTACAGATCTACTTTTCGTCAAACCCTATTTTACCTTAAGGTAACAATAGTCACTTTTAAAAATTGGTTATCTCATCTAATTTCTTGCTTTTATTTGTGTAATACAATTTATGTACTTCAAAGGCATAGTTTTGGTTTAGATGTGAAATTGCCTTAATCTGTTTGTTTCCATTACAAATGTTATTGTCTTTATAGTTTTGTTTCTTTTTTTGGGGTGTAATAAATTTGGAAAAATTACAAGGAATTGCTAGCATAGGACTTCCTGACAGAGGAGGTTTGCGTCCAATAGTTTGGAAGGTAAATTGTCTTTAATTGTTATTAATTAATTATTTTCTCCATTTGACAATAAGTATTATCTGTTTTTGATGTTCTAAATGTGTTTGAAAAAAGCTTTAAGAGATCTTGCATTGGTTGGGCAGATTGTCTCCATTGCAAATGTGTTTGACAATAAGTATTTTAATGAGCATTGAAGAAAACTCTGTCGAATCATCCCCTTTTCCCAAAATGTGATTATACCAATGAACTATTATTACTTGGTTGCATAGGCTAGCCGAAGTCTCTGCTAAGTTTTGAAATTGAATGATTATATTCATAACTAGAATCTAACTTGTTGGCTCTATAATTGTTGTTTCCTATTGATACTTGTATATTTCCCAGAAAAATTATGGAGTTTGATTTCGTCATGTTTTATAATAAGAATAAGTATTTATTGTTGCAACTGCTCCTAGGTTACTTACCTTCTATCAAGACTTATGAGAAAAGGAGCTGACTAAAAATCTACAAAAATATTTTGTTTATTCCTTTCATCAATGATTATGCTAATGCTTCTTTTATTCCCTTTGTTTTCTGTGGTGGCTAAACAATTGCATAGGCAAAGGGAACTACCAATAATTTTTCACTCTCATGGTTTCTGTTCTTCTATTGGTAAGCAAAGGCTCCATCTTTTATGTTCAGATCAGATCAGAATCATCATCATGTTACATTATATAATCAGTGGCAGAGCCACATGAAAACCAGAGGGGGCCATGCCCCCCCCCCCCCCCCCCAAAGATTTTTTAAGCCCTCTAATACATATTGATATAATGTATATAATTTATAAATGTTCCATTTAAAAGTTAAAAGTGGCCCCCCCAAAAAAAATAAAAAGTTGTTCTTTGTGATTATAAATATTTAGAATTTTGAAATTTTAGATTCAAAATTCATTATACATGGATTTGTTTCAATTCTATATTGGATTTGTTTAATTATGCTCTAATTTCTTAATTAGTTTATTTGTTTGATTATTCAATTATGTAATACTTAATTATAATTGTAATTTATACTTGTAATTCAAAAAAAAAACTTTTAACACAAAAAATTCAGTTATCAAATAAATTCCAATTAATTTGCAAAAAATATTAATATTTATAGTTTAGTTCTCATTAAAAATTAAAAAATAAATGTATTTGTTAAATATAACCCACATTAAAAAGTCAAAACTATTAAAAAAATTTAACAAAAAAAAAAAAGTGAGATTAATAGAACATAAAGAGACACAAATTTTATTCCCTGAAAACTTGAACTTAGTACTAAGTCATATTTCTTAAAAACTTAAATCCAGTACCAAGTTGTTATAGTTATTGCAAAAGGTGTATTCTCGTCTTCTTATAAAGCCAATTACAATGGTAGTACAAAGGGTGATTAAAACTTCTTTTATGATAAGACCATTGACCATTGCATTTTTGTCTTCTGATTTTGAAGTTATTAATATTGAATTATAAGTTCTTTTTAATTTTCATTATGAGAAAATTATCAATATTTATTGAAAAAAATCTTAATCTTATTAACTACATTGAGAGAAAATTTACTAAAACTTTTAAGTCTAAAAATTTTCTTTTTATGAAAGATTGTTGTGCATAATTTTAAATAAAATTATTTGGATTTTTTTATTTTAAATAGTTATATTTTATTTATTTCAATGCTTGAAATTTTTTATGTTTCTTATTTATGTTTACATTATGAAATGCTATATTTTACTTAAAATTTTTTTAACTTTTGATAAAATAATAATATATTATATGCTAAGTGAAAATTTTTAAGTTAAAGTTGTTATTTAATTTGGCCCCCCTAACTTGAAATCCTGGATCTGCCACTACATGTATATAATACTATTTTTTCTTAATAAAACTCCAGCCTTATTTTCTAGCCACTTGCACCACTCTTGCATCACCATCTTGCACGAATTTGCATTTCTACATATGGAGTCAAGATATGTTATCTAATTATGAGAAATTTGAAGAAAAAAATAGAAGAAAATGAAAGAGGGGATTAGGGTAAACAGATAACTTACTTTCAGTTTCCGCAATTGAGAGGTGGCAGATTGCGTTGAGAAGGGAGTTGAGAAGCAATCCTGAGAGTGCTGCAGAGGCAGTCATGCTGCACAGATTGGAGTGCACCACAGCAGTCAGGACTAGGATTGGTGTTAGTGGCACTAGGCACCACAAAAGGTGCGCACACATTCAGGTAGGTGAGCTCAATTGTGCAGCTTTGTGCCTTAACCGATTGGGTTTACACTGCTGCTACAGCCAGCTACAGAAGTAGTGCTGCAGCTGCATCACGTGAGCTGAGAGATGCCAGTGACTTGACAATTTCCGTGACTAATTTTATCTTTTCTAAATCTTGGGCTAATTCTCTTACTCATTTTTATGACTTATTCATTGGGATTTCAGACACTTTAGAGTTGGATTTGGATGGTGAGAGTATCTATCGATGAGTTACTTATCTTAAGTTTTTAGCACACCACAATTTTGTTGTGTTGAGAATTAATGTTGTTAATTTTATTTTGACACCAATCGTATTAGTCATTACGCTCTAATTTGTCTTTGATGATTATTTGATGTTTTTAACAGCTTATAAACATTAATAAATGACAATACTATTGAATTTTGTTGATTTTAATATGTTAGGTTAAAAAACAACTCAATTGGTTTCTGCATATATATTTTTTGGAATATGAAAATTATTTTTAAAAAATTAAGACACACTTTTAAGGGCGGTTTTAATTGTTAAATAATTTACTTAATAAATATAAAAAATTTAAATAAAATGTGATTTTTATCGAAATTTAAAAATACCTTTAAAAGTTTTTTTTTTTTTTACTTATAATGGCAATTTAAAGTATGAGAAAAAGTCATCTCATCAAAATACATATGTAATTCCAGTATCGATAGTTTGAGTATCAAAAAGTTTTTATTGACGCTCATTTAGTCGGCGGTCAAAAAGCAATTGGCAATAATAATAGTGGTTGTTTTTTAGTCTTTTATTAACACTTATAAATGTTGAAAAAAATAAATTTTTTTGTTGTATATTTTACTATTGCAAAATGTATATATTAATATTTAATGTTATCACATTCACATTATTAGAATATATTTAAATATTTTTATATTTATTTTTAAAAATATATATATTCATAAAATTTATAACATTTTATTTAGTGATGGTCAAATGTTTCCTCACTAAATCCACTCATATTAATTTTCACATCTGTTTTTCATCATAATCAAGATTAAATTTTATATTAGTGAAATATATTTGTAAGAGTCAATTTTAATTTCCCATATAAAGAACTAAATTAGTGAAAATTATATTGCAACTCATATAAAAACAAACATTTACTAAAGGTCAAGATACACTACTCACTAAAAATTTATTTCAATGAAGATTATTGGTGGCCTTCATTATATAAAAGTTTTTAGCAAGGGTTAATGTATAACTCTCACTGAAATCCTTATCACTAAAACAAGTTTTTCTTGTAGTGTCAATTAATTGAGAAAAAAAAATTTAGGAAATGAATACAAATTTAATCTAATTTATTCATGCAAAAATTTTTAAAAGGTGACATATAACAAATTTAAATTTTAAAATTTAATACATTTAACTTTTTTATCTTTAAATTATAATATCTTTTAAAAAATACTAAAAATTCCAAATAACCAAAAAGTATTTATATATATATATATATATATAAAACAGGAAAATGATATTTTTAATGGAATTTTTATTACCATACAAAAGAATATCGTCAACCTTCTACAGTTACAACAATAGAGTTTTGACTTTTGACAAGAATAGGTTAATGAATAATATCATTTATTACATCGAGAATGTAATGCCTCGAAATAATGAATGTGAAATGCAATCTTATACTAAAAGAAAATAGAAAGAATGAAATCCAAACTTATAAAAAGAAAAACCCCCCCCCAAAAAAAAGAGAAAAAATTTATTAATTATCATCGTCAAAAAGAACTTCGACGTCTTTCATCAATCAAGTATCCCTAGCATTGTGGTAGATCCGCCGGCGGTGGAGGCAAGGTTGTATCTGGAGTTGGTCCATTTTCAACCACGAAGGCGGTGGCCAGGCCTACTGGCAAGTGCGTGTCTAGGTGGCAATGCATTAACCATACACCTGTGCATTTTAGAGAATAGAAACAAGAATGTTAAGTTCAATCTTTTCAATGCGTTCACAAGGGTTAGAGCGAAAAGAACAAAATGCTTGAGCTTTCAAAAATAAAAAGCAAAAATCCGTTGAACTATCACTTTCATCTCACACCCACCCTTATGAAAGTAAGCTAAGGATCATAGAAAATTAACCTGGATTATTAGCTCTGAATCTTATGACCGCCCATCCTCCTACCGGCACGCCAATAGTGTTGCGCATTTGTGGGTTGATAAAATTGAACTTCTTTCTATCCGTGGCAGGGTTATAGTTTCCAAACCCTTGAGCCAATACATGAAAGTTAAAGCCATGGATGTGCATGGGATGATTCTCCACTCCAATGAAAGCTGTGTTCTGCAAGATCATCTGTACAGTCGAGTTGAACTTGAGTTTGGTGACCTTGGTTGTTTTTGGAGCAAACAACAATGGTAGGTTGTTGTTAATACTTGCGTTGGTGTAGTCAAATTGAATTGGGGGCTTGGCAGGGAAATCAGTGGTGTAAACTCCTCCGATGTTGAAGAAAAAGGCTTGCAACATAGACAAGCTGGTGGGTAACACGAAAGATTCGTTGTTCATGCTGGCAGAGAATTTCGTCCCATTGACCGGACCCTGGCAAGTAGTGTTTGCTGGGCAAAGCTCGAGTCCCAACCCAATGGTGACGAACATTTGTAGTCCACCTTACGTGGGACGGGGACCCAGTGAGTCCGCCAATCAATCCGGTAATGTTGTGTAAAACTTGTTGGCCGTGGGGGTGTCATTGAATGCAGGGAGGGCTGGCATTAGCGGCGATGCTGAAGATGGGCCACCATCATAGACGACGACCCCCCTCGTTGTAGTATTATCATACTGTACACCAGTTGCGCTTGCATATGGTCTTGCGGCCATGTAATACGACCCAACCCGCTGATCGGCGGTTAGCAGAATGTCGACTGTCTGGCCAGGGCCGGTAACCACGACGTCGGTGACATAAGGCTTGGTGTAGCCGGCATCAATGGCAACGACTGTCATCTTATGATTGGCTATCTTGTAGAAAAGCTGGTTGTTAAGTGCAGCGTTGATAATACGTAAGAGATAGGTCTTCCCTTGCTCCACCTTAAGCTTGTACATATCTGATGGGAAATCATAATTAAATTAAACATCTATTAACATATAAAAATTATGGAGTACATGCATGGAGATATGTATTGGTAATCACTTACTGTTTTGAGAGCATGGGTAGAGATCACCAGGCCGTCCATTTATTGTGTAAGCATTAGAAACGTTAGGAGCACCGCCAGTGGCAAGCGCCTGGTTCTCCACATCAATGACATTAGCATTCCACCACTCACCTGCAACCCCATTGCTACTTTAATTAACCATAGCAATATTTTCTAAACTGAAAATTTAATAAAGACTTCAACTAATAGTCTAATTAAAGAGATTAATACTTCTAATTCAAAAAAAATTAGAGATTAATACTTCGATCGGTAAAATCTTAGATCCTGGCGTAAATTAGAATTGGTTAACTACCTAAGAGGATGGGAACTTCCTTGTGGGGCTTAGGGAACGGGTAAGAGTGGCCAGCTTTGGGGCGGATGATGAGTGCACCGTAGACGGTGGCACGGAGCCAAGAGGCATGAGCATGCCACCAGAGGGTTCCCTCCTGTTTAATGATTCTGAATTTGTAGGTGTATTTACTTCCTGGGAGAATTGGACACTGAGTGACCATGTCAGGTCCATCTGCCCAGCCACTCAGTTTCTGAAAAATTCCATGCCTGCTCAAGCAATCATCGAATTCACCGACATAACCGTTAGCAATGGTTAAAACATAAAAATATGAATGTATATAAAATAATAATAATAATCATGGGCTACAAATTTAATTGGTTTTAGTACTACGTATATCATCATTAGTAGATTGAGTTAAGCATTGTTCTTTCATTAATAAAAAATGGATCACATGGAATAAGATATACATGCACAGTCAACATAATGCACCTGGCTATACTATATTTTCAAAAGAAAATTAAAAATCTCTCTCTTGTATCAATAAAACAAGAACCGACGTCGCTTGATGAAGTATTTTTACAGTGATGTTTTCGTCACAAAAACACTAATTATTTTGAAGAATAAGTCAGTCAAAATTACACAAAATAAATAAGTAAATTAACGTACCTAACAGATACTTAATATTTCTTTGTCAAAGTCAAAACTAAAATTTGGTGAAAACTGAATAAATTTGTTCTATATTTTCATGAGGATTTACCAGTGAATGGTCAAGTTGTAAGGTGACTTGTTAAAGACATGAACAATAAGTGTGTCACCCTCTTGAACGTGGATTGTTGGGCCAGGGAGGCTACCATTTACTGCAGTAATCACTTGGTTGTTGCATAGCTTATTAACAGTCAAATTTTGCACCTGCCAGCAAATTAAAATAATGAAGTTAGGGGCATTAGATATTAATGTAAAATCATGTGGTCAAACACTAATCACTTTCATTTCCTTCGGAGAAAAAAGTTAGTAGGAAATCTGCCTATAGGCTCAAAGAAAGTTGAATGTATCCAGTCGAGCAATAAACCGTCAGTAATGACTAAATTATGTAACTAATCAAGGATGGAAATGGTTAAAAGTTAAGAGGTAAAAATCGTTAAAGGAATGTGAAGGCTATTTGTAAAAGCCATTGACTTTAAGCTGCAGCATATGATTGCTAAGTTTCTATTTTCTATCGTAAATATTCAACGTGCATGGTGTTACTGGTAACACAATGACCATTATGTGGCTAAAGCCTGAGTTGAGTTGTTATGCAAAGTTTTGATCCTGATTTGGACTGTAAAGGAGAGGTTAATTTAATCCATGAAAAGAAAAAATGAAAACGGATTGTATATGGCTAAAGCTCTATAAGTAGATTACATAGAATGTGTGCTCCACTATTTCTGCAGCTGAAGCTGTTGAAGCAGCCAGAAGAAGAAGCAAAGCGTAAGCAAACAAGAAAACAGGGCGCCCCATTTCAATTGAAGGGCTAGCTCAAGCCAAAGATGAAGGAAGAGAATGGAGGGAGATCAGTTAATAGACTTCTTTGTAAGAAATGAGATATTGATATAGATGAGAGGGCAACAGACTTCTATTTATATTGTTAGAAGTGTAAGGGTTGAGTTCCTCGTGGAACCGGCGTCCTTTCTGGGTTTAACTTAAAAAAATTTTCTGTTAGATATGTCAACCATAGCATGCGATATCCCAAAATAATAAATAAAATAGATTAAAAAAAGAAGGGGGGGGGGGGGGTTTGCGTAACAACCTAGCCAAAGGTGTTATATTTCTTCCTTTAGAATATTTTTGAATTGGGCAACCAACGCGTTGGTCGAATCTTCTACATAGGTGATGAAGTTTGGCCATCGAAAAAAATATTTACATTGTAAAACAAAACCAGAAGTCGTAAATGAAA